CCTGCCTGCGACAAATAGGATCTAAGTTCAGCATTGTGTCTAAGTCCAAATAGAATCTAAGTTGCTCAAAGAGCTGACGCTGGTTTTCAACTAGACCCCGGCTTATAAAATAAATCCCAGCCCCAATTTTTACAAACACGTTAGTTTACGGAGATGTCAAAATTTTTTTTTGCCTGAAAATTCGTAAACGCATTTATTTGCCCGTGCACAAGTTCTCTGTTTCCTACAACTGGGTATCGTTTAGAAGAGGCGCTAAAAAGCTCTTGCAGGCAAGATGATGAAGAGTATAAGCCTGGTGTGGTACGTAAATCTGTTGCACCAGTTAATGACGTGCCTGGACTTAACTTGACATGATTAACTTAAAACACTGATGTTGTTAAGTAGTTACCTATTAGTGATAGAAATTAAATTACTTTGAATTGTAGGATAAAAATTCTTCAGACAAGGCTTGAAATTGAAAATGAGCAACTTATGTACATAAAATCTAAATCTTGATCTCTCGCAGCCACAATAAGACTTATTTTTCCTTTTTTGAATTTTTGGTAAATATCCTGCCACTCACGCCGTTGCTTACCATAACCCCAAAGTATATCCCCAATGCCGTGGAGCTCAGGAGCTTTATTACAACACCACACCATCAACAGACATACTGTTATTTCTTCTGTAACGTGGAGGTTACTTCCCAAGACGGGCGCTCCAATTCGAGCGGAAAATCTTCAATGCCCTGCTTCTCTTAGGTAGATGTAATATTGCCAGTTATGAATAACTGTTATCAAAGGAGATTGCTCAGCTTCCATACATGTTTGGCCTAAAGACCAATAATCATGAAAAATTGTTTCCTAGATTCGAAATTATATATAAATTACTGTAGAAACGAATATTATTGACGGACACTCCTGAGAACTTCTATAAACTATATACACTGAACGATTATGAGGTTATAGGAGAAATAGGTACATAGGTATTAAAATAAAAAACAAATAAGTTATATAGTAAACTAGGGAAATCAAGCCAAGTACCGAAATTATGTATTAAATTCAGGTATATAAACCATGTAGATTAACATATAGTTGTCTGTTTTTAAAGTTAATTCACAAGAGTAACTTTTAAAATCAGGTATTGGTTAACTATGCATTTCCGGTTATAATAACGAAGGTACTCTGTGACAGAAACTGTGTGATGATTGTGAATGAGCCACCACAGATTAGAGAGAATTTTTAAACTCTCGTTAACCAAAGAAAGCTAAGCGATTTAGGTTATACAGCCATATCTTCAGTAGCTTAATTATTTTTGTTATGTTTACATTATAACCATATTTTAGATTTTTAGTGTATCACACCTTATACTGTGTTTATGGAGGTGTTTGGCGAAAAATGTATGGCAATAGACTTATGATGTCACGTACCATCTATAATTATTGTCTTAGCACATTTGCATGTCGTGAAAGTGAGAATATATGTAGTTGTGGATATTAATACCACAGTGTAATAAAAAAAATGTTTTATTTTATCGACCTTTACAAAATAGATTTGATTTTATGTTATATAAACAACTTCGACAACAACAACAGCGTGGGGCGGCCCCCAACAAGGTGGACTGACGATATCGTCAAATGTGCTGGGAGCCGCTGGATGCGGATAGCGCAGGACCGCGCATTGTGGCGTTCTATGGGGGAGGCCTATGTCCAGCAGTGGACGGAGAAAGGCTGACGGATGGATGGAAACAACTTTGATCAGTCTTCGGCTGAATGTTACTACACCCATAGCCATTAAAAATGATTCGTATGTTTTTCAAACCGGTAAAATTAAAAGTCCTTTTTAAAATGAATATATTATACAAAGGTGTCCGTTAAAATCTAATGACTGTAAAATAAAGTATAAATTACGCCGAGAATTACCGTAGGTAAATGTCAATATTTTTTGTGCATTTGGGCCAATTTGAGCAATCTCCTTTTTTATAATTTTCATTATTTTAAAGCATGTAACTGCTTGATGTTTAAATCTAAAGAAAATATAACTAGAGTCCCGTCTGCTGCCTGGTCCGCGTGGAATTTTTTCTAGTTATATTTTCTTTAGAATCTCCTTTGTTTTAGGTTTAGAGAATCAGGTCCGATGTTCTTTGTGATATGAGAACGATAACATGCAAAAGATTTATACGGAAAAAAGAAAGTAAGTTGCGCAAAGCAAATTTTAAGAAAACTTAACTTACATCTCTACCCGACGCTGTAATCACGTTCGGAAAACAAACAATAAATATTTTACTGCATAAAGTCTAAAAAGTCTACCTAAATAAAAAAAACTAGTATGTGCCCGCGACTTCTTCGGCGTGGATTTTTTTGTCTCATACATCCCACCACCAGCCTCCACAAAGCAGAATGTTACGGCGACTGCAATGTCTTTTTTATAAATACTTTTCAGTCGGGTTTTAAATTTTATATTAATTTCAGCTTTTTGGAAAAGATTAACAGGTACCTACAGTTTAGGTGTTCGTAAGGAGCTTATACATAATATCATTGGATCTACTATCTGAAAAATTAGAGGTCACCTACAGGAAATGGATTTCCAGCGATCTTAAATAGTGCAGAGAAAATGCGTTTAAGTTATTTTTACAAAATGAAATAAAAAACTATTTATTGTTCACCATAATGACAAAAAACATGAAAAAAAACATAGGACCGTTAGCATTTTTTCAAATTTTGTTGTTTTCAAGAAAACAATATTTAAAAAATAATTGCTTTACATAATTATTCATTCACCAAATGGGCTCTGTTAACTGCCTTCATTTTTCAAATAAAGCCGAACGGAACGAAAAAGAACCGCACGGGGTATTCGAGGATTCGTGAAAAAACTTTAGCCAGAAAAAAACAAGTTTTTTTTCATATTTATTTTCAACGTTTTTTAAGGATAGAATAAACTGATTTTATTGTGTCTAGGCATAGCTTATCAAGTTAACCTATCATAATTATGTCAAATGTTATGCAAGGTGAAATTTCTATGACCATTTTTTATTTTCTTAAATTACATAAAAGATTAGCAGCTGTTAAAGAACTTTCGCGCCTGATTCCTGCAATATTGTGTGTGATTATTATTGCACATACAACCATTATTATGTTGCATCATAGTCATTTGCTGACATTTAACCATAATAACGCTATTCGATTCTTAATTAATGACCACCGCCAAATTACCTTCTCTATTACTATTTAAATAGGAGCTATAATAAAACTTACCTGAACGCCGTCCATGCCGCCATCGCAGAGGGTCCACCTTCCATATGCAGTCATTGTATTCGCTTTATCACAAAAGATTTTTCACAACAAAACTCTTCTCAAGTAAAACATATATATTTGATATAAAAAAAAGGTGGTCTTATAGACATAATGCCTGCGCGGACGCAAATTCAGTACTGCTAGGCGACACGAGGCCGCGTCAAACTATTTAGTGCTTGATTAGCGCAAACGTGCGCAAATCATACAACGCAGTGTCCAAAGCGGGCGTATGTTATTGTATAAGATAGATTGAAATTGATTGCAATGCAGGCCATACTCATTGACGTGATTGAGAAGAGTGGACGAAATGGACCTTGTGCGACTGTTTACAACAGTTGACCCAAAGTACTTACCCGGTGTTATAATGTCTCGTTTTAACGTCACTGGAGCGTGTGAATACACGTTTCGGAAATCATAGTCTAAATAACTACAAGGGGAGTCTTGTTATTATCTAGACCATGATTTCCGAAACGTGCATTCAAAGAGTGTATGTAATGTGTTCAGGGTTCATGTTTGTATGTACGCACATACAAACTTGAACTTCTTTAATATACTTTAACTTCTAAGTGCCATATCTGGCCACCCTAGAAAGACACCTCTCCTTTTTGCTTAGCCCACCCTGAAATTCAAGTGTCGAAAAATGTCTAAACTTTACAGTCTATAGATTAATTTTAGGAAATATCCCGAGCTAGGCCAATGACTTATTCCTGTCGTTTCAGATACTTTTCCACTGCGTGGTCAAAAGTCGCGCTTTACGTACCTACCTTAGAATCCCAACAGACCAAAGAAACTTAAAAAGTGGTTTTCTGATTTTATCCTGATAAAATGTCCTGACTTCAAAGATAGCGATTGTAGTAATTTTAATATACATCATACAATTTAAAGTTAACTTTAAAGTGAGATGAAAATCTCACAGGAACCTAACACTGTTCCGGGAGAATATCCTACGTCTCAATGCAGGTCATAAACCATATGCGTACAAATTTTCATCCAAATCCGTCCAGTGGTTTAGGCGTCAAAGTGTAACAAACAAACAAACTCACTTTCGCATTTATAAACTTAGTAAGGAAGTATATAAAGATTAAAAAGCACTACTGCTAATAAACCAGAAAAAGAAGTATAAGATATTGAACCATGCATGAGCGAAATCCTATGTCTTGTCCATGAAAAATAAAGATTCGAAATCAAGTTAAGAGAAGTCATGCGGCAATCGGGGGACCATTTAGGTCTTCCTTAGTCGGCGTCTGTTATTGTTTTAATGTATAGTCACACCTTGCGCAGTATTAGCCTTTTATTTAAAACAACGTGAAGACGACCACACATCTAGTTACCACAAGGAATGGTATTAATGAGAATCTCATGTATATTGTGAATCTTATATCAAGCTACACAAAGCTCAAAGTCATTGCAGAAATTTTACAGTTTTTGATATCTTGATTTGTGGCTGTTTGTTACATGTATATACATTAATGTCTAAAATTATTAATTTAATAATCATGCCTGTACAATAACTTTATGTTGTCCTAATTATCGTCAATTCAAAATCCAAACAACATCTTGGTCCTAACCAATGCCAAATGGTGAGTGATAAAACATTAAAGACAACAAAAAATAAGAGTGAAATAAAACCTAAAAGAAAACCATTAAAACAGCTTTAATTGTTTATTAATATTTAAGATATTGTTGTATAAAGTAGTACCTAATATGGCAGTGTTATACGTTGTCACTGATTCTATCGGTTGCTACGCCGGCTCATCCTCAAATCTCTTTCAATTTCGTACTGCCGAATATCTGCTCGCTCCAAAAAATCTTTACGATCTAAGTACCTGTTAAACAAAGTTGATTTATTATACCAACTATGCTAAGTATACATTTAAGATACAAAATCTTAGCTGAGATCGTTTCGACCGACGATTAAGCCTAAAGATATCTTATATCTATCGAGTGCGTGAGAAACATTCCGCCGCGGTCCGAGAGATGGCGCTTTATTGCGTCGCCACTCACAGTGGGCGGAAACGATCAAAAATATACGCGAGGCAGTAAATCTAATCCAAATGAAATATTTTTTTAAATGCTCGTCATTATGTCTGCTTACTTGTAGCACTGCGGAAATTCACTTTTTTAGGGGTAGAAACCACCCACCCCTATTAAGCCCTGAGCAGGCTAAACCACCAGATTCTGGGTAAAATGAGTTGGATCAACTACATATTTATAAGGAAACTAGTAGCCCGCCCTCGCTTCGCTTCGGTTTAGAGCTGTAGTGTAGATTTAAATGATTCTTCATATAAGTAATTATAAAAAACCTGAAAATGCATTATTTGCCTTTTCCAAACTTCTATTGACATCACGTACCTAGCTCAATTGTTTTGCCTTCGGGATCTCTCCACTAACATTTGAAATTTATGATATGGTATTAAGTTCAAATTGACTTTTAAGTATTATTACGAATCGTTTGTATGGGAGTATAGAAAAGTGTTGTGTTTAGACATTTCCAGGCATTTTTTAAATTTTCTCTGCGTAAGAACCATCCTCGTACTTCAAGGAATATTCTAAAAAAAGAATTATCGAAATCGGTTCAGCTGTTCTCGAGATTTGCGCTTAGCAACACATTCAGCGATTCATTTTTATATTATAGATATATATTTTATACACCATTACTATTTATCCAGACATACCACATTACCATTACAATGACATTATCTAATAAATACAAATTCCTCGTCTCACAGTGTTGGTAGCAAAACTCCTACGAAACGGCTTAACCGATTCTTAAGCAATTTTGTCAGTAGATCTGGGAACAGGACTTAAACTATTTTTCATACTCCTAAGTGATAAGGATGGTCCACCCAAATTTTTTTATTTTATTTATTATTTGAAATTTTCTATGATTCGGCATTTAATAATACATGCAAATACAACCGTAATGTTAGACAAAAACATTACGGTTTAACCATGTCTGCGTCATATGTGGCGTAAAATAGATTTCATCTTGGAAAATTTAGAATAGCAGAAGGTTACATTTTATTGTCATCCTATTCTGAACTTAGTTTTAAAAATGTTTCACAGCGCTCATAAATTTTACCAGAACAAAAAATATACTTATTAAAAAAAATATGAACTTACCCAGCCTTGCCCTTGTTGTGACTTTGTATTTCCTCTTCAATACCCTCTTCTTTTTTGTAAGTCATCCAGTCAAGTTTAGACTTTTCTAAAGTGGATAGTTTGTTTTTCTTATTTAACTGTCCTAAGATTCCTGCTACACCTCCTGACGCTCGACTTCGGGATGGGCCATCGTCCTTGTCAACTAAAATGAATTAGGAAGTTTCATAAATAAATATAACTGGTGTTTATTTTTCTAGGAAAAGAATGTTACAGGCTGGATTCGAACTAACTTCCTTCACTGTCGGAAGAATGCACTCCTAAGAGCGAGCGCTGCGTTAAGCGGGGCGTCCGCTTAACGTGTTTGTTTCGTGTTATTTTTCATAGAGCAGCGCTGCGTGAGGCAGAGCTCCCGCGCCGCGAGTCTCTAAAAATTGCATGCCTAGCGGACGCCCGTTCCGTGCCCCGCTTTAGGCAGCGCAGACTCTAAGCATGCTTTCGGGTTCCAAATGAAAATGTAATTTTTTCTTATGTGTTCATTTCTAATTCAAGATTGCCATTTCTTCAAATTATAGGTAAATGCAAAGTCAAAGAGACAATATTACCAATTTATCAAACCGATAAAGAAATAACATTGACTTTATCAGTTTCTTTTTATTTAAAGGATTTAAGCGCATTAGACTCTCAGTAATATGAAATAAATGCAACTTACCTGTTGCAGGCTTCTCTGAGGTTTTGATCTTTTCTTTAATCACATCATTTTCGACAACAATTGTTTCACCCGCGAATTCAAATATTCTCCTTTCTCTATCTTTGCTATCGTCAATGGATTTTTTGTCATTCTTGTCGGCTACACTTTTTTCCTTAATATTGTCTAGAGAGGTTTTTGTTTGATCGTTTGCTTTATTTTCCAACTTTTGTGCAGGCTTAGGCTTAGTATCTGTACCTTCTAAAAACATTGCCCACAAATCATCTTCCCTTTTCTTTTCATCCTCTGGGTTACCTGGTTCTTCAGGCTGTTTCTCTTCTTTTGTTTCTGGTTCTTGATTGGTTTTAATGCAACTGTTCCTAGTTCGCTTTTTGCTTCTACCATTAGTTGCCACGTCTGACTTTCGCTTTTTGGTTTTATGTTCCAACTCTTTCTCAAATTGCAAATCAGTTTCTTCATCAGCCGAGTCTTCTTCAGAAACTTGCTCTGGAACACCAGGCACATATTCTTCATCACTTTCACTTCCAGAAGACATCTATAAAATATAAATTATTACAAAAAGTGCGACTACTATATGTTGTACAAATTATTGTTATTTATTAATATATTGCATACATTGTCATAATATTAGACTGGCAGCCCCTGTTTCTTGCCCCCCGAACTCAATTTTCCAAGCCAGTGGAATTTTGTAACCATCCATTTTACAGAAAAATAATACTGCACCACAGTCCTCTGTAAGTTTGGCACAAGTCGAGCAGAAAATCCGCTGTACTGTATGCCAAATTTTCTATGTTTAATAATGACAATAACTGAACAGAATCGTGTGGTTATACTTATTTATTGTTGTACATTGTAACTAGCTTAAAGAAAAAAAGGTATCTATTTCTGTAAGCTGGTAGGTACTACATTAACTTGAATATGATTATTACAATTTCGGAGCCCTTTTCAGCATAACTCCATAAGCCATTAGGGCAGTGGTTCTCAAACTTTTTAAATGACGGAACCCTTTTGGGAAGCAAAATACTTGATGGAACCCTACAATAAAACAATTATTTTTATAAGTGTATTCTATATTAATCAGCATAATAAAAGTACAATGTATCCGTTACTAATTATTATTTACTTCACCACTTGGTAAGGACAATAATAGAAAACATTAAAAAAGAAAAAATCTAACTAGTGGGAGGTATGAAACTGTTTTTTATTTTTCATCAATTGCTTGATATCAGGTTTGATGGAAGAAAGTTGGAGTCTCATATCAGCTTCGGCGTCCAGTCTATTGCGATATTTTGTTTTCGTGGCTGCGTAGGTAGAGAATCCTGTTTCGCACAAATATGTAGTTGGGAACGGGAGAAGAATATCCAGAGCCATTTGGCCAAGCATTGCATATTCATCTTGGATTCTGCACCAAAAATCATTAAGAGGCGTCGTTTTGAACAATGACTCCATACTTGTGTCTGATGACATTTCTAAAAGAGATTCATATATCTCATTTGACATGTTTTCAGGCTTTTCCAAGTTGGGTAAAAAAGGATTATGAATCCAGGAGTTCACTTTAATTTTTGTATTGTGTTCTTCGGGAAAATACTTTTCAAAAGATGCGCGCATCGAACTGAGATATTGGACCAATTCTTCAAACACATTATCTTCAAACATTTCTGAGTCGTTTTCGCTAACAAACTCAGTGAGTAACGTAAAACTTTCTATTTCTTTCTTACCAATGCAAATGATCCAAAAATCTAATTTTCTTTTAAAAGTAGTTATTTTATTATAGGCCTGAAACACTGTTGTCTGTTTACCTTGCAATGATAAATTTAATTCGTTAAGTTTTTGAAAGATATCCGCCATAAAAGACAATCGGAACAACCAAGTTTTATCATACAAACGGTCCTTCAAATTAAAAGAAGTATCTGCTGAAAGAAACATTTGTAACTCGGCTCTAAGTTCAAATAGCCTTGTTAAAGTTTTTCCCCGAGACAGCCATCGCACTTCTGTATGGAGCAGCAGTGTTTTATGTTTGCTGCCATAATCTTCACACAATAATGAGAACAATCGGGATTGTAGTGGTCGTGATTTGATAAAATTAATTATTTTTACCGCTTCATCCATAACTAATTTTAGATTAGACGGCATTTGCTTCATCGCAAGTGCTTGTCTATGCAGAATACAATGACTGGAACTACAATTAGGCGCTTTATTTTTCATTCGTGACACTGCTCCTGCTGTTTTACCTGTCATCGCCTTGGCCCCATCTGTACAAATGTCAATGCAATTGTTCCAACTGAGATTATGTTCTTCAAAAAATATATTTATTTTATTAAAAATTTCTTCCCCGGTAGTGTTTGTAAGCAGCGATGAACACATAAGCATGTCTTCTTCAAAAGAACTTTTATATGGATATCTCACAATAACCAGCAGGATAGCCAAACCAGCGACATCAGTCGACTCGTCCATTTGCAAAGCGAATCGTGTATTTTGTAGACGTGTAACTAGTTCTTGTTTGACGTAGCTTGCCAGATCATGGATTCGTCGTGAAACAGTATCGTTTGATAGCGGAACAGTAGAAAGATGCTTTGCAGATTTTTCATCAAGCATACATTTTGTTATGTCTAATACACATGGTTTTATTAATTTCTCAGCGATAGTGTGCGCTTCACCTGCTTGTGCAATGCGATAGCTAACTAAGTATGATGCCTCCGTGGCCTTTTCGTTGGTAGTTTGTGTTACATGCATCATATTTTTTTGACTTTCTAATAACTGATCTTTTTTGCGAACAAAAAATTCTTTATTCTTGTCTTTAGTCTCGGGGTGTACGGTTTCTAAATGTCGACGCAATTTGGCAGGTGCCATGGAACTATTAGGAAGCAGTTTACTACAGAGCATGCAGAGAGGTGAGCCGTTGGAATCAACAAATCCGAAACTGATATAAGATTCATCATACTTCCTTTTTTTCGTCTTTGAAACCGTCGAGCTTGACGTCGTGGCACTCGTGGCATCATCTTCTGGATCGGTGATTGCTAAATTCTCCGCGCGCATTGCTTTTGAACATTCAGCGTCATTAGAAGATGTTGTTGGAACACGTTTAACACCTTTAAGCCAACGTTCCATTCTTCTTTATTTATAATGTTACAAGTCAGGATAGTGGGGTTTAAATAATGCACAATCGTTACTGCGTATAAGAGACTAAATTTAGAACCTACAGGGAAGAAATGTATAAAACTGAGACAACAGAATACAGCAGGCAGTAAAACAATGAACACCAGTTTCTCGCTAGCGAGCTTGTAAGTAGGTAGTAACTTATCGCTCCGAACGCTAATCATCAACTGACGACGCCAACGCGCGATCGCCGCTTTTATACTTAGTCCTAGACTCGATCTCAAATATTCTCGAAAATACTCGAGTCGGCACCTTTGATAAACAAAAAGCAAAAATAAAAACAGAAATTTAAAAATAGCGTTGTAAACAATATCGACTTTATCCTTTGAAGTTAGAGACGAAAGTCGCTAGTTGACAACTATAGCGTCTAATTCAGAGGCGGCTTTTATCAAAGAGACTGAGCGCTTACAAGTATACTACCCGCTCGTTTTAAGTTTGCCGCTGGCGATAGGTATGAGTGTATGACGTTCGAAATTTTTTATTTAATTGTAACAATAAAAATTGTGTACGTTAGATATTTGGGTAAAACTATGACACATTATAAGTTTTGTTGTCACGTGGGGGAGGGTACGCGCATTCCACAGACCGGCAAACTTAGAGCGAACGCGTTGTACAAGTATAAAATTGTTGAGACCAAACTTATGAGATATTGTACCAGCTAATGTAACACAAGCTTATACAAATACAAATAAATAAATAAATAACATTCATAGCGTTTTGTCTCCGCGCGGCCGCGGAGTCCGCACAGCCGCGGAGCGACCAGAGAGAGGTGTTTTGATTTTTTTATTTCTAAATTCTTGCGGAACCCCGACAGAGGTATCACGGAACCCTAGGGTTCCGCGGAACACACTTAGAGTATAGCTGCATTAGGGGGTCATTAGGTTAGGACTAGGGGCCAATTTCTTGCCACTTACATTGACGATTTATGAAATGAAAACTTCTTTAGCGGCGTTGTACACTTTTTTTTGTATGGGTAAAAAATGTTAAACTCGCGTCAGGTTAAACACGTGGGCTGATCGCATCATGACACATAATAAAATTGGAAAGGTTGTTGACTTTCAATATATCGCACGAAACATAGTAATATTTTATTTTACCGTATTATAATAAAAAGTCCCTATCTAGGACGTCCACGTGGCAGCTTTATTGCGAAGAAAATGCATTTTTTTTACAATAGATGTCGCTAAGTGCGCTTAAACGTGATTCACGTAAGTTGATTTTTCTGAGAGATAAACTTTTTTAATGTAATATAAATTGTCATATTTGTGTACAATAGCGCAATAAATAAATATTGTATTCTACCAAATACATGATAGTACTTTTATACTGATAATTAAAGCAATTCATGCAAAATTATTCGCCATCCATTCCAAAATATCAAAAATGCACCATGTTAATATTCAAGTTTTCACTTCTGCCGGCACTCCCAGAGTGCAACCCGTCTTTTTTACCCGGCTGCGCAATGCAAGAGCGCGAAGCGCGACGCGCAGAAGGGTTATGTGTTTAACAGTCTATATATGTATGTTTGTTCCTTTGTGGCACACTAGAGACCAAACGCCTGGACCGATTTTGATGATTCATGCATCAATCGATTCGTCTCAATCATGGAAGTGCTACTAAAGATATGATAGTAATCAAAATTCAGTATGGGCAAAATTAGGCGCCATATTGTGACGAAGTAAAAAAAATAGGTTGACAAAATATGTCGAGTGGGGTATCACTGTCTAGATAATAAAAATTATATTTAGGTTCCTAACACCATTTTTCATTTTATGTGATTGTTTAGGATCTACAATGCTTTAAAGTTGTATATTAACCACTTACGCTTTTAATTTCAATCTTACGTTTGTATGGATTTTTGTTGCTCTTTTACCAAAAAAATACTGAATGGATTTTAATGAAACTTAACAGTAAATATAGCTCATATATGATAATTACATATATATAATAATTTATGTAGTTATTGAGTGAATTGGCCAATATATAACAATAAGTGTCACATAAGACGGAAAAAAATCTCCCATTTGCGAGCCATTTTGGCCTGCACTGCAAAAACAATAAAAGTTACATGAATGTAATGTAGAGTGAAAATGTATCTCTTAAATAGTTCTAAAAAAAAGTCCGTGACACCATTATATCTATTTTTAATGTGTAAGTCATTACCGCTAAAATAGTGAATCAAAACTAAAATATTATTTGATATCTATTTCCAAAATGCACATTTTGTATTAACAAATCATGTTTTATCAAAACAAATACTTTTATCGCTTTTGATATTTAAAGACGATAAACTTTGCTTTTTACAGTATGTCATTTCGACAAATATTTAAAAAGTTACAACGATGACAAAGTGATAGCGCGGTGTACTATGTAAAAGAAAAAAAATGGGGTACTAGCAGTATCTGATCCTATACGAAGTACTAACAATAAAACTGTGATACAGTTCCTTCTTATTGAATAATGAAAAATATATTATCATAATAGGTATTTATGATTATTGAATTTTAATGAAAAACTCAGAATTTTACTGTTTTTCATTTTTTTTAACGATATTACTTAATGTTACAAAAAAGGTTTACTTAATATAATGACAAATAACCTAGTAAGTACATACTTATTGGAATCCCTGTATTTATTAATCAGCTCGCGATAATATTGGTTTTGTAATTATTCTGCAAAATTCAAAGTAAATAATGTAGATTTTTATAGGTAAATCACCCCTTTCATCACCCTATGCCTATAAGTATTGCGATGTTGTAGCTAAGAACCAAGTTCCCATCTACTTCTATATGGGAATTCATTATATTCCATTTAGCTATTAGGGCACGGAAGCGCAACAAACAAACTCACTTTCGCATCTATAATATTATATTATACTTACTAGTGATCCACCCGGGCATTGTACGGGCGAAATTTATTTATCCGGATAAAATATAGCCTATGTCACTCGGACAAAATGTATTTAAATAAAGAAAAATGTTATAATAAATAATGTAGCTACCTTATGATTAATTAATATTTGAAACCGGTTCAGTAGTTTGACAGATTATTTGTTACAAACATACAAATCTTGCCTCTTTATAATAGTAGTATAGATAGTTAGGATAAGATAAGTATTTAATCGATGAAAAAGATTTAAAAATAAAGTAAGTAATAGGTTTATTTGATTATATTTGTAAAAGTTACTTAGCATTTGTGCTTAACAGTGATACGTTATTCGGTTTTTTTTTAAACAAAACAAAATTTGGAAAGTAATTGCCATGATTGCACTACTGGGAGTACTCTTCATTCGAGCTTTACACTACCAATAAAAAAGGGTCGAACACAAAGTCTTTGACCTGTTAAATGTGAACGCTTTAAAAGAAAACTACGAAGAGAACTATAAATCTATACTTATAATAAATCTGTAGAGAGGTCAATTCTGTACATAAAATATATTTTCAAAATAACTATCAGGGGGTGATTAGTGATCGATACTGATGCCAAAAATGCAATCAGTAAAATTTTTGTCTGTCTGTCTGTCTGTGTGTATGTTCCTTATAGAAACAAAAACTACTCGACGGATTTTAACGAAACTTGGTACAATTATTCTTCATACTCCTGGGCAGGATATAGTATACTTTTCATCACGTTACAGTCAATAGGAGCAGAGTAGTGAAGGGAAATGATGGGAAAACGGGAGAAGTTACTCCATTTTTTTAGCTTCCGTTGCGTGTGCAGCCTTAATGGTTAAAGTTACATAGAAATCATGTATCACGGAAATATTCTACATAGAATTGTCTAAAAAATATCCCGCAACAGCATATGTCTATCTTTTATGGTTGACTCACAATAACACGTGTAACTCCTGATAGCTTAGCAGTTCGGATTATATTTGTTTACTCTTACGTTTATAATACTCTCACTCATCCCTAATTTAAAAAAGTTAACATTATTACCTATTCAATAAAAAAAGAATCATAGAAATCGGTATAGAAACACCAAACTTATACATGAAATAAGCCATCGCGCCGTCGCACGTGAATACTGAATCATGCTATAAGGATTATTTTTGTGTAACGGTTGCCGCGCTCGACACGGGTCGCGGCGGCGCGGTAGGTATAAGAAGAATGTCATTGTGTATAATACAGGACTGAGAACAATAACTATAGTCTACACTTCAGCTCTACACCGAAGCGAAGCGAGGGCGGGCCACTAGTTGGTAATAAATGAGATTGCTATGGTGCTCTACCTAACGTTATGAAAATTTTATTATGCGCCTTTAGTTTAATCAAATATTATAAACTTTGCTTTGGTGATTGCATAATTATTTAATTTAGTGATCTAAGGCAGTTGCCACCATTGTCCAAAACAACAGACGTGAGTTACTGCTTTCTTCAACCTGTGACATAAACGTCATTGATTGGTATTGTATATAGGGTGATTAAAAACATTTGAAGTTAACTTCTGGCATCTACATATTGGCTTTCTGTGAATTATGTAGGTATATCAAATTATGAGACTAGGGACTGACACTGAATTTGTGTATATCACAATCTTAGACGTCCGGCATTGACATGACAATGCAGCCACTGCCAATTTTAAATAGTCGACGAATAAAAGTAAATGAATTTTATATTTACTGCTAAACTATTAAAAAAAAACATAAACAAAAGATGACTTTTTGAGTAAGTGCTAGTTTACTATAAACTTGACATACATTAGAGATATTTATGTAACGACTTGATTTAACTTCACAATTTTTTGCGAAAATTGAGGCCCATCTGTAGCCTTGACCCCGCGGGTAGTCTTTATATGTCTTAATAAATCAATCTTTTAGACCGACGCAAGGTACTTAATAATTCCCGCGATATTAATTCCCTTACTGAAGTAAAAAGACTACGGTATATACCGTCTTAAAATACTAACTAACTAAAAAGTGTGAAATAAAAAAGGTAAATTTAAAAAATCAAAAAACCCGACTGCTTAATTATACTTCAAATAAAAACTGAAAAGAAAAAAACAAGTCCAGTAGTCTATAATTCTGTTAATAAAGAACAAAGCTACTTTAACAGTCGGGACCCACTGTTGAAAAATATTATGTATTCTTGAATATCTAATGGGTCCCGACTGTTAAAGTAGCTTTGTTCCTTATTAACAGAATTATAGACTACTGGACTTGTCTTTTTTTTTTCAGATTTTATTTGAAGTATAATTAAGCAGTCGGGTTTTTATATTTTTTTAAATTTACCTTTTTTTTATATTAAACTTCAAGTGTCTTGGGATCAAGTAAACTTTCTCTATAAAAAATATCCTATCAATATGTAGCAAATCTAGTGTTAATTGCTGTTTTTTTTGTATTCCTTTTTAAAAGTTAACTACATACACCTACAATTTGTAAAAATGGAACATATTGTGCAGTTTTGAAAATTTTGGAAAATTAGCTAAGTTAATGGCAGCGTCAATTACGGACGTGCATTGCGTATTTGTTCTCTAAATACTCTTCATGTGTGTATTTACCCGGCTGCGTTTTATTATGTTCCTTCAACAGGTCAACTCCATGTTATAATAATATTGCATACCATCTAATTTACTTTTTTATTGATTTTCCATACATGCAAAAATTCCGGTTAACTAGGAAACCAGCAATTATATTCTTTAATGACAAAGAAGAGAGCTATTAGAGCCTATAGACACTTGCGAAAACAAAAATATCACTCGCCCAATAGCTTACTCTAACGCAATAGCCTGCCCCGCAGAGCACCAGAACCTTTCACACCAACAGAAACACAACACCGCCAAAAGTAAGTGTTACTTTACTGTCTTCTGTGAAGGTTACTACCCCAGACGGGTGCTACAATTCGAGAGGGAAATCCGCTTTTATGCACTACCTGTCTTTATGCAGTGTTTCTTATAAAATGGGTAACATGTGTGCCACAGGTCTTCATTATTTTATAGTTTACCCTTACCAACTACTAAGCAGATTTTATCTATAAGTGTAGTGAAACAATAAATAATAATGTGTATAGGTTTCCGTTTCCAAAAGGTAAAAACGGGACCCTATTTCTATGACTGCTGTCTGTCTGTCACCAGGCTCCGTCTCATGAACCGTGATAACGAGACAACTAAAATTTTCATAAATGATGTATTTCTATTGCCGCTATAAAAACCTATACTAAAAATAGAATAAATGGGCTCCCATACAACAAACGTGTTAATTGCTCTATATTAATAACGCCAACAGTAGACACTTGAAATACACACAGAACATTTAGTTGTATATTCACTTTAATAATAAATAATTCAATTGAAATAAAATGAATATTTAAGCACAGCTCCCATATAACAGATGTGACTTTTTTGCCGTTTTAGGTATGGAACCCTTTTTGCAGGAGTTTTTTTATTTAAGTATTGTTGTCTTTTCTTAAAATACTGTTTAAACTTGGGTCTGTAATTTGTTTTTAATTCTGAAAGTGGTCCATGTTAAAATGTTTAAAGAATACTGCAGTGATAGCACAAGACCCTCATTTAAGATTTTTGTGCAATAAGAAGACAGTAGCATCAGGCCAGAGCCATTCTGCAAAAGGTGTGTTTTAGTCAGTAAGAATCTGACACAACCCTAAGCACCATCTGTAAGGTATCCATGAGTATTTGCTCCCACTTCTCTGCCTGGGAGGAAACAAAAAAGAAGCAATGAACTTTGATTAAATAAAACAGTTTATTACTTTACACAAGTTTTTTTTTATATCTATTTCTATTTTTAACATTAGACACTTCATAAAAGTTGCTTCCTGTTTTTGTGCGGCGTTGAGCTCTATCTATAGCTCTTCTTTGTTTAGCAGTTAGCTTTTTGATTGATTTTGCATTTACAGGATTGCCTTTAGATTTCTTTTGTTTTTGTGTAACATCATCAATTATGAAAGCGCCACTAGCAGCCTCCATACGTTTTCTTTTTAATGCCTTAACTGTTTCTGTGTTGTTAGTCAAATAATCCTCAACATCACTACATTCGTTTTCATCATGGCTGTAAAAGTCACTTATATCTGATGAATCACCATCTGTATCATTGTTTTCATTTTCACCTTCCTGTGATACTTCTTCATCTTGATCATCTATCCCTTTTAAATCATCAGGTATATCAATTGTATTAAGGGGTTTAACATCATCTTCATTATCAAACTGTAAGCCAACCCTTATTTTGGCAAAATCTTGTGCTATTACTAGTTTATTTACATTAAGAGTTGCTATTTCTGGTTGCTGCTCATTTTCTTGTTGAGATATTTCTTCTTCTGCTTCCTTTTCCTTCTCTACAGTAGTTTTTGGAACATTGTTGATTTCTGATTCATCCTTTTGTTTTGAAAGTGGTACTTCAAAACCTTCAGGAGCAACATAAAAGGGAAGCTTTCCTCTTTGCCAGTCATTAAGCACCATCCTTGCTACCTGATTTACATCTGGTTCACCTTTTTTTAGCAATTTACCTGTTCTAGCTGCAAGTTTTTCAAGAAATTCAATAGGTGTGTCCCAGCCATTAACTTTATATGTCTTAACCAAGTACTCTTTTCTGACTCGCTTGATAACCTCCTCAATATAATCATCTGGGTTTTGAACTAGTTCTACTCTAACAACTCCTTTCAAAACTTTTTCTGTGTCTGTTTCTGCTGAAGGATACACAATTCCAGGGCAGTCAATCAAGAATATTCTTTTCATCAATGTTATATACTGCCATACTTTGGTTTCTCCTGCAATAGGTGCCACTTTACAAACTTTTTTCGACCTCAATGTATTAATCACTGAAGATTTTCCTACATTTGGATATCCAATCAACCCCACACTTATTTGTTTTTTATCAATGTGTAATTTTGCAAACTGTCGCAGCAAATTTATAAGTGATCCTTTCCCAAAAGGATGTGTCAAAGAAGCATGAAAGGCTATGGTTGGATATTCTGAACTTAATATAGCAACCCATCGTTGAGTCACCCAATTAGGAACAAGATCAACTTTGTTTAGAATAAATATTAAATGTTTATGTGGCTTTTCCTCTCTTAGAAATTTCTCCACATAAGGACTTCTCGTTCCCATTGGATCTCGAGCATCAAGAACTTGGAGCAAAACATCAGATGAATCAATGACTTTGTATAACTCATTCCATATCCTTCTACTCATACCAGCACCAAAAACCCAATCTCTTTGACCTTCTTTCACACCTGTATCTTCCCGTACTCGGTCTATGTCTTTAGTTTCATCATATTTCTCAGTATTTTCTTCAACAGCCTTTGATAGTGTTTGTAAGTCACTGAACTTAAGGTTGACTCTTTTTCTTTGCTTTTTTGGTCCAAATGTTCTATCAAAGCCTTCAGTATCTAACAGATGTACCCTGGAATTTTTAGCTTTTTCATTAAGTAAAGTAATAGGCAAATTTGTAGGTCTCATAACCACTTGATAGGGGTTCTTCACTGCAGCTCCAAACTCTTCTTGAAACTTCTGCAAGGCGTTTTGTGATATAACCCTAGAATTTCCAAACCATTTCTGATTTGGTTCAACTCTAGCTTGGACACCAGAAGGCAACCAGCCTTGAAATGGAGCTGGTGTCAAAATTTTGCCGGTTTTATCTCTTTTTGCTTTAAAATTACGATACATTTGCAGTCTCTTTATGGTTCCCTTTGTCCTAGGATTTCCGACCCCTTTCAGTCCTTCCGTTGGCCTATCTGGGTTCATAGAATGTCCAGATTTGTTAAATCCCTGTTTTCGGGGGGCACCCGGAGCAGATCGTACTTTACCCATTTTGGTTTTGAAAATGTTCTTCAAACGTTTCTTCAAAATAAATAAATTACCACACAGTCACGCGGACTTCCACGAAAAATAAGGTTATTTTACTGTAACACCACTTTTGACAATGACAATTTGGACAAACGAACCGATCCAATCCGTCAACAGAAGACAAAAATACGAACTTCACACTTGTTCTGTTTAGCAAAATTATTCAAAACAGGAATTAGTAAAAATACGTACCTACCTTTACAATGAGAGTCCTATTACAATCAAGTAATCTGAAACAATTTTCTTTTTAAATTATAAGTTTGAAATTTGCTTTCAATACAGACAAAACTCAGATTCAATAGCTAAATTATGGGATACACCATTTACATTCTGCAAATGTACAACAACTTCACTTCTGTCAATATACTTCTGATTTATATTCTTATAAACAAGCCAAAGGATACTAATTTTACACAGCATGAAAGGTAATTTGTTTATATACTTTTTTAAACATTTAACTGCTAGATTCTTTTGTCTAATATTATTTACAGGCAAAAACTCTACGAGGAGTACGCAGCAGACGGGACTCAAACTTACACCCTCCACTATCCGGGCAGATGCACTGACCATTATGCTACCGCGGCTCTAATTGTTCGTGTCGACCTCTACATTTTTGTCTATAAAGTCGTGACATTAATGTTTGAGGAACTAACATTATTCATGTGTCTGGCAACACCAAACTTATGTACATCAGCTGTCATCGAGTTTCAGTTGTGGAACAGTTTTCCTTTTGTATTTTTTATTGTTTGGATTAAACTGTAATAAATTAAGACGAAACTACGCAGAAAGGTATAAAAATAAGTAAAGTAAATCGGAGTGGCACGCGGGAAGTGATTTTTAAAGTTTTCCAGCGATGTTTCGAAGACTACCAAGCTGGATGAATTTTGTGGGATTTGGATGGTTTTATGGGCGAACAGTATCTATAACGGGTATGTAATCGTGTAACTATTTGTTTGTAATCTGCCTGAAGTTACAAATTTACGATTTTGAGACCAAAAAAGGCATTGTTTACATTGCACATTTTTCGTTTAGATTTACATTGTAAATAGGTAATATTGTAGTACGACCATTTCTTTTGATACGATATTATGGTTCAACTCGGTCGGGTTTTCTACCAATTTTGAATTAATTGCTTCATGTCAATAAGTTATTGTTTCTATTCCGTTACATATTTTTTTACTTTTTTTTTTCAGGAAAATCAGAGAGTCGGATAGTCAACGAAGGTTTTAAGAATGATGGAAAGTTTGAAACTCCTGGGAAAACAGGCAAGGCCGACCAAAGAAAGAAATGGTCACATAAAGAACCATGGCCAGATGCTTTTAGTGAAGATACCTATCACTAATTTTACTAACTGCACATTTACAAATTGTTTCTCTAATTAAATTTTTTATATACTATAAAATGATTTTTAGTATCCTAGTCTTTACAAGTGTGTTAAAAAACGTCATATGATGATACTTGTGTGTATGATGATTACCTAAAGGCTCTGGTCTCAATGGCACCCATATGGCACCTCAGCGGTAATCACCAACATTACACACTTTTACACCATAAAGTACTATTTTATCTATAATAATTTTATTCTGATTCAATTAAATATGCTTGGCTAAACTTTTTATAAGCATAGGTACCTACTATATATAAAACAAAAACAAAATACGACTGTATAGTGTGTCTTATTAATTACCTATTATACTTGAATGAACTGCTAGTATCAAAATCATTTTGGTCAGACTGTACAGGGTTGCTACATGCATACTAGTGGCGCCATCATTTAATGTCACGACTTTATAGACAGACTGTACTTTAGCATTTCTGCAAGGCAGCGCCAGCTCTTCGCGTTGTAGGTAACCCAGAATGACAAATGAGTACCTTGACAAGTATTAAACGTTTAAGAGAAGAAATAGTAGTATTAAAGTTATTTTATTTATCAATCAAAATAACTGTATGTTGTAAGTAATGGTAGTGTTCCATTACGGTAGTTTTCCAATTACAGCACTAGAGCGCATTATGCGGCATAATGCTTAATGTTGAATGTTCCAACTACAGCAACGCTTCGCACAATCGAGCACTCTCAAAAGTAATGCTTTCGTGTGATGCGTGCAATCGTACCAACTCAGTGACAGAAAATTAACAAGTGTTTTTTCTTTAAGTTGGCATTGATCGAAATTTGTTATCGTTAATAATATTATTTATTGTTGAAATATTATTAAAGCTTGCGTTTCATTATAGTATTTTTTTTAAACAATCAAATTTAAGTCAAACTGTGTTAAAAAAAATATATAAGTGTGGAGGAAGGTACACACATTGACTTTTTTTTCAACACTGAACTTAGCGCACTCAGCTGGTGCATTTGAAAACTAATTCACGTTCCAATTGCATCAGCATAATTCGGCATTGTGCGCCACTGAGTCGCATTATGCTCTGTAATTGGAAAACTATCTACAGTATTAGAGCGCATTATGCGGCATAATGTTTTACGTTGAATATTTCAACTACAGCAACGCTTCGCACAATCAAGTACTCTCAAAAGTAATGTTTTCGTGTGATACCAACTCTGTGACAGAAAATTAACAAGTGTTTTTTCTTTAAGTTGGCATTGATCGAAATGTTTTATTTATATATTGATGTCGACTCTGGCATGATTCTCTAAAGCTAAACTTAAATTTGACAACAGTGCATCCCTGTCATTCTCTATGCAGAATGAAAAGGAGAGACTGATGTTAAATTTAGTTTTAAGTTTAGAGAATCTAGAATCGATACCATTATCGTTAGTAATATTATTTATTGTTGATTTTTTTTAAAGCTTTCGTTTTATTGTAATTATTAGGTATACCACTTTATTTGCACATTAATGAGGTTATTGCTAACTCTTTGAATATTTATAATTTCTATTATTTTAAAGCATGTAACTGCTTGATGTTTAAATCTAAAGAAAATATAACTAGAAAAAAATCCACACGGGCGAGGCAGCAGACGGGACTCGAACCCGCAGAACTCGAGAAATTATAATATATAATATATTACCTATAATGCGAAAGAGATGGCGCTGCCTTGCAGCTTAAGAATGGCTAGAAGAATTTCGGAAATTGTAACTATAATTGCTATTTCTTCTTTCAAATGTTTAATACTTGTAAAAGTATTCATTTGACATTGTGGGTTACCTATAATGCGAAAGAGATGGCGCTGCCTTGCAGCTTAAGAATGGCTTGAAGAATTTCGACGCGGTCCGTGCGGATTGCGAAGGGTGCGGGTTCGAGTCTATGAATATTTTTTTTTTCAACACTGAACTAAGCGCACTGTACCGGTGCATTTGAAAACTAATTCACGTTCCAATTAGGCATCGGCATAATATTGTGCGCCAATGAGTCGCATTATGCACTGTAATTGGAAAACTACCAATGGTATGAAATCGATGTGCTTCTGGGCGTCGCGACCACAGAATAAAAACGGTGGTCACGACACGCCACGACTCATAAATATGTTTCTGCCTTTAGCTGAACGTACTTTCTCTCGGTTAGAAGGACGTTCTGTCTGGACCTGTCTGGACCAAGTCTGGACATTGCTAATCTGTGGCAAACTGGCAGACAAAGAATTCTGTTTTGTGAAATTTTCATGAAAATTGTAAAGATTATACTTTTCAAAAAAGAAAAGAAGTATTTATATTTCGTCTTTTTATATAAAGGTCAATAATATCCACAAAACTATGTTCGAAGTTTGCAATAAACTGTCTAAATGATGGTTAAATAAAGGATAGAAAATGAAATAGATGATTATCCTAGAAAGATAAAATATTACAAGGAATTGAGATCGCAAAAGCATTCATTGGATAATCATAAATAAACCACCCCGATGCGTATGGGCTTAGTAACATATAAGACAACATGTATGACATGTTGTCAGAATTTAGAGTTTCAGAATTCGATTCGTTTGTGGATATATTAAGACTAACTCCTGTGGACCCACTAAATACATTTGGTGAAATGTGGTACCCAGTGTTTTTATGGTCTCTGTGTTCATCAGTGTTTGTACACACTTGCGCTGCCCTCGTCGCTTTTGGCACTCTACGGAAACATAAATATGGAAAGTTCTTTCCCGTCCTGTTGATTGTGATGGGTGTTGTTAGTCCAGTGACCTCTGGTGTAGCAAGTAGTGCAGCAGTCGCATTTATATATCGAGCAGCAAATTTAACCATGCCCCCTATACATGCTATGATATGGGGAATAGGGCAAACTCTACTTGGTGCGGGCATAGGTTTTACTAGAATATTAGCTACACTGTGATGCAGACAAATCACTGTTATTATAGTGTTGCAGTGTTTCCATCAACCACTTTGTTCAAGTGAATTGAAAGTCAATTATCTTTAGCATTATTCTTAATGGAACTAAGGGAAGGTGCTGGAATTGCAAATTATTCCCACAATATAATATCAGCTTCATTCTTGTAACTGCAGAAGATAAAATACTCATAAATACATAAAGGTGTCTTTTCTGTAAATAATAGATGTTATATTGTGTGTTCTTATACCATTGCCTTGAAAGTAGTCCACTTCACATTTTTCTATACTTGATATTGTTGAATTTCATGAAGGTTAAGAATCAAAGTAATTATTTTACTTTATTTTGCATGATAAATTGTGATGTTGTGGCCTATAACTGTAAAATTTAGATTTTGTATAAATGTGTATGCATGAAAAATGTGAACAATTTTATGTAAAATCCTATTCAAAAATATTTGTGGATTGATTTGTTACTTAAAACCTACTTAAGTCAGCCATATAAAATCAAAACATGTTATTATGAGAGATCTGTTTCCTTCTACTAATTATAGTAACGGGATATTATTATTCTGTACTCCTACCCTACAATGGGAGCAAAAAATGTTCATTCTATAACTGTTAGAGTGCTCTCACACTATATATTAAATATGACAACACACATAATAGAGACAAACTGCTAACACATTTATAAAATGGGAAAAACAATTAAAATAAAAAAAATGGATGTTTGTGTGTATACAAAGAAACACACAAAAATAATGATGCAAAGTTTTGAAATGCTTATTAAATAAGAAAATAATATTTAAACATACACTATTTCTCTTTGGTTTGTCTAAATTTCATAATACAGTGTGAGTACCAGGAGATAAAATGAAAGTTTTTCCTGAAGTGCAGAATGAGGTATAATGTAGCGTTATGCTTCTTCCAGTGTGAGAGCATAT